CCCTTGGCAGTTACAAACCATTACCCTGGAAGACGGATTTCTCCCAGGTGATCTCTCTCTCGGATGAGAGAAGCATCTCATGCAGGCCCTACCTGGCCCCCAAGCTTACCAGGAGCAGGTCGTGAGCACAGAGAAGGGAGTAACCACTGGACATTGCCAGATGCAAATTCTCTCTGTTTTGGGTCACACCTGGTGGTGCTCAGGACTTACCCCGGACTCTGCCCTCAGGGAGCACTCCTGGTGGGGCTCAGGGAACTGCATGGGTTGCCGGAGATCGAACCCAGCTTAGCCGCATGCAAAGCAAGTGCCTCCCTGCTGTGCTATCGCTTTGAGGCCCCTTGGCATGATGGGCGGACTTGCAGGGTCATCCAGACCTTTGCAGTCTGCAAACCAAGAGGGGGCTGTGGCAATCGGGAGGTCAGAACCCACGTCTGGGATTTCAGGAGTTAAGGGGTGGGTGGAATTTATGTAATGTTTCCAGAGATGCCTGCCTCTCCCCACGACAGCGTTGTGTGACCTTTAGCAGCGTCTTCCGCGTCTCTGAAATGGGGCTGTGCTTGTCGCTTGTGCCTCTGAGGTGCTGGCAGGAATAGCTCTTTAGCTCCTGGGGAAGGGGCCCGGCTTTGAAGGGAGCTGAAAGCGCTAAAATAAGAACTGCATCAGCTTTGGAAGCCGCTTTTGTTATGCTCACGGAAAACCTAGTTCATCATGTAGAGAATCCTTTTATTTGCGGGAGAAAAGGGGCCTGGGCTGATCCCTGGCCCCCTACAGGGCGCCTTTGTCTGCCTCCCAGGCTGCCTGGGAAGGAGGCACCCTGGGTCTCTAACCCAGATGCTGAGCGGTTCCCTCATCCTTCCTCTCAGTGGCTGGGCCAGCCCCTGGACGGGTTCATGCTCTGCACTGGGGACCACCTGTCAGCAAGGCCCACCAGACACCCTCTCATTTGCTCATTCACTCATTCTACATCTATTACCTCTGCTCTGTGTGACCTCCCAAAGGACACAGAACCTCGTTCCTGCCCACTGTAGCACTGCACTGTCGTCCTCTTGTTCATCGATTTGCTTGAGCAGGCACCAGTAATGTCTCCATTGTGAGACTTGTTGTTACTGTGTTTGGCATCTCGAATACGCCACGCCACAGGGAGCTTGCCGGGCTTTCCGAGAAGGACACGGAGGAATCAAACCCAGGTTGGCTGCATAGAAGGCTAATGCCCTCCCCGCTGTGCTCTGTTGAGTTATTTTAGACCGTTTCTCCAGAACTCGACCAGCATTCTAAGGCGAATGTGAGTCTAAAGCCAGGACTGAATGAGTTAGACACGAGAGGGAACAGGCCACATGGGGCGGGGGTCTAAGACTCACAGGTCTTGGCTGGCCGGTGTGTCTGCCTTTCCCCACGGGGCGTTCCCGGGAGCCCACGTGTGGCCGTGCGTTCCAGAAACCGTATGTGCTGCCTTCTCCTGCCCGCTGCCCACTGCCCCCCAGCTGTTGTCTCTCTTCACCTTCCTTGTCTTTTTTTTTCTTTTTGGGTCACTCCCAGCGATGCACAGGGGTTCCTCCTAGCTCATGCACTCCGGAATTACTCCTCGTGGTGCTCGGGGGACCGTATGGGATGCTGGGAATCGAATCCAGGTCGGCCACGTGCCAGGCAAATACCTTGACTACTGTGCTATCGCTCTAGTCCCCAGTAATAGACATCTTTTTTTTTATTTATTTATTTTTGCTTCTTGGGTCACACCCAGTGATGCTCAGGGGTTATTTCTGGCTCATGCACTCAGGAATCACTCCTGGTGGTGCTCAGGGAACCCTGTGGGATGCTGGGATCGAACCTGGGTCGGCCGCATGCAAGGCAAATGCTCTCCCCGCTGTGCTATATCACTCCAGACCCCACCTTGTCTTGATGGGCCGGGAAGCTCCTTATTTTTACCTCGTCTCTGCCTGTTTGACCAAGGACCGGCCCCTCCTACTCCAGTGCTGGCTCCGAGCCCCACCCTGGTCTCCCTCACCTTCCTTAACTCAGGTGTTCGAGGCCCACACTCAGCTCCTCTTCCTGCCCGAGATTCCTACTGTCTGTCTTCAGTTCCCAGCGCTGAAGATGTTTCCTCACTCAGCAGGGATAACGGGTTTGTAGTCGAGGGTGGGAAGCGGCTCCATCTGTCTGCCGCGTGCTGAGGCCAAAGCAGAGAGAAGCCTGCTTCTGGGGGAAAGCATCGGTTCCCTTCAGGACAGGCTGGGGGGATCCTGGGAGCCTTGTGGCAGCCCCGGGGCTAGAAGCCCAGGGAGGGCACCGTCCTCAATGTCCCCTTGCAGATAGCCAGCTAAAGGAGCTATGGTGGGGCTGGAGTGATAGTACAGTTGGTAGGCCATTTGCCTTGCACATGGCCGACCTGGGTTCGATCCCCAGCATCCCATAGGGTCCCCTGAGCAGCACCAGGAAGGATTCCTGAGTGCAGAGCGGGGAGTAATCCCTGAGCATCACTCGGTGTGACCCCCCCCCAAAAGGAAACTATGGTATGGCACAGACCCACATGGGGCACCCGAGGCAGCCACATCGGTGGACACTCACGGTTCAATGCTGCTTGGACAGCGCCGAAGGCATCGAGTTAGGTGAAATAATCCAGAGGGAGAAGAGCTAGTGCGGGTGGTTCATCCCTTGTGGTTTAGAAAGAAACACAGCGGGGAGAGCGTTTGCCTTGCACATGGCTGACCCGGGTTCGATCCCCAGCATCTCATAGGATGCTGAGTGCAGAGCCAGAAGGAACTGCTGAGCGTCACTGGGTGTGGCCCAAAAAGAAGAAAGAAAAAATGAAAGAAAGAAAGAAAGAAAGAAAGAAAGAAAGAAAGAGGGAGAGAGGGAGGGAAGGAGGGAGGGAAGGAAGGAAGGCAGGAAGAGTGGAAGGAGGGAAGGAAGGAAGGGGAGGGAAGGAAGGAAGAAAGGAAGGAAGGAAGGTCAGGGAGGGAAGAAAAGAAGGAAGGAAGGAAGGAAGGAAGGAAGGAAGGAAGGGAAGGAAGGAAGTGAAGGGAAGGAGGGAATTGGGAATAACAATTGAGCACAAATTCTTGGCTTTTGCATAATTCCCATGAGAGATCACTGGGGCCCTGTGTGTGGGGGTCACTTCCAGCAGAGCTCAGAGCGGTAACCACACTTGGTGGTGTTGGGGAAAGATCAGGCAGTATCAGGAGGTCAAACCCAGAGCCTCACAGTGAATCTCTGGGCCCCCAGGAAAGGTATTTTTTGAGGCTGGGCGGGTCCCAGCATTACCAGCTCCAGTTTGAATCAGGCCCGGTGAGGGGGCAAAGCAGCAAGACCCAACCAACCTGGCGAGAAGTGGCTGATGGCACGGAGGCTGGAGCTCAGAGAAAACTTCCAGTCCCGGGGGTGGGTGGGTTACAGATCGTTAGGAAGCACAGTCCTGTCTGAGAGAACAAGATACCACTGCGCAGTGGGCCTAGAGAACCCTCACCTCGATCCCCCCAAAAAGTGATTCCCAGGGCTGGAGCAATAGCATAGTGGTTAGGGCGTTTGCTTTGCACGCGGCCAACCCGGGTTCGATTCCCAGCATCCCATATGGTCCCCTGAGCACCGCCAAGAGTAACTCCTTAGTACAGAGTCAGGAGGAACCCCTGTACATCGCCGGGTGTGACACAAAAAGCAAAAAAAAAAAGTGATTCCCAGTTTCCCTTGGGAATGGGTGGCATCCATCCTAATTTGAAACCTAGAATTATCATGGGAGGGCTGGAGCGATAGTACAGTGGTTAAGGCCTTTGCCTTGCACACAGATGACCCGGGTTCAATCCCCGGCATCCCATATGACCCCCTGAGAAATACCAGAAGTGATTCCTGAGTGCAGGGCCAGGAGTAACCCTTGAGCATCGCCAGGTGTGACGCAAAAGCGCCCCCCCTCCACAAATTCCTGGGGGGAGGGCCGGAGAGGTGGCACAGCAGGGCTGGTACTTGCCTTGCATGAAGCTGACTGGGCTTCCATCCCCAGCATCCCATAGTCCTGAAGCATCGCTGGGTGTGGCCCCCAAACCACATCACTTAAACTGGAGATCAGGAGAAAGTGCCAGGTATGGTGAGGTCTCAGGCAGGAGAGCAGGTGGGAGAAGGGGGCAGAAAGGGCAGTGGCATTGTAAGCCAGAATGAGGAGACGGAAAGAATGGGGTCGACCAGGAAGGAATTGGCAGAGGAACCCAGGTGTGCGGGACCCAGGGCTGAGATCTTCAAGCCCGCTCGGATCGGGACTGGGCCTCCTCCCCCCAGCTCCACAGTTTTCTGGGAGCTTGGCAGTCACACCCACAAACGGCCCCTGGCACCATGTAATCTCATCAACAGCCAAGACCCAGAGACTATCAACTAAAGCTTCCGGAAGAGAGCGATGCAGAATTTCCGGGAACATGCGGCCACATTCTCGGCCTTGGGACCTCTTATCCTCTAGCCCACTGACGTACCATAAGTAGCACACATACTTGCTTGTATTCTCTTATACACGGGCTTAAATGGCTCCAGAATGAAATACAACAACCTTTACACACTTCCCTCTTATTGTGGTGGGAAGATGCTCGCTGGTTGGGTGGGTGTTTGAATATTATCTGTAATGAACTATTGTGAGCTACTTTTTGAAAATAAAATGTATTAAAAAAAAAAAGAATGGGGTAGAGGGCTGGAGCAATAGCACAGCGGGGAGAGCATTTGGCCTTGCACACGGCCAACCTGGGTTTGATTCCCAGCATCCCATAGGGTCCCCCGAGCACCGCCAGGCGTGATTCCTGAGTGCAGAGCCAGGACTCAGCCCTGAGCATCACTGGGTGTGACCAAAAAAAAAAAAAAACAGGGTTGAGGGGAAGGAAACCGTGTTGCAGGAGAGTGTGGGACTGGTCAGAGATGGGGGCTAGGGACACATTTCTGGATAGGCAAGTTCTTGATGCCATTTGCTGGCTTTGGAGGGAACGGGCTTTGAGTCCAGACGCGGGGCCCCTGCTCCTCCCCCTTGTGTCTTGCAGCCCTGGCCGCTGGCCTGCAGGTGTCTGTCCCGGACAAGAGGAAGGTGGCCATGCTCTTCCAGCCCACCGTGCTCCGATGCCACTTCTCCACGTCCTCCCGCCGGCCCGCCGTGGTGCAGTGGAAGTTCAAGTCCTACTGCCAGGACCGCATGAGCGAGTCCCTGGGGATGGCCACCCCGCGCGCCCAGTCCCTCAGCAAGAGAAACCTGGAGTGGGACCCCTATGTGGACTGCCTGGACAGCCGGAGGACGGTGCGTGTGGTGGCATCCAAGCAGGGGTCCACGGTCACCCTGGGCGAGTTCTACCGTGGTCGGGAGATCACCATCGTTCACGGTAAGTGTGCGCAGGCACATGGTATTGGGGTCAGTGCGATGTTGGTTTCACACCTGCCCCACCCAACCTGTGGACCCCCAATCTCCCTGTGGCTTCCATTCTCCACGTCCGTCTAGCATCACACCTCCATGTTGGGGCCACAGTCCACAGGGTTGGGGTTTGCTCTGGTTCCATTGCCGCGATCTTCTGCGTCTCCCTTCTGACTTATTTCTTGGAGACGCAGGTCCTGTGGATCTGTCCAGGTGCTTGCAGAAGGCAAGAGTTCAGCCTTTGCTCTTTTTGCACTAGTCAGCAATATCTGTTGTGGATATTGGTGGCACCTTCTATCCGTGTGTGTGTGAATGTGCGTGCTCGCGTGTGTGTGTCTTAGCTTGATTCCAGATCTTGTTTTGAATCTAGAAAGCGGGAGATAAGCTTGTCAAATCCTTTGCTGTCAAAGGGGTTACCCTCCCTCTTCAGCCCCCACACTTTTGGGGGTTCTGGGAGCAACAGGAACCATAGCAGATGGCTTTCATGAGGCAGATCACTGTAGCACTGTCCTCCCGTTGTTCATCAATTTGCTCGAGCGGGCTCCAGTAACATCTCCATGGTGAGACTTGTTACTGTTCTGGGCACATCAAATATGCCACTGGGAGCTTGCCAGGCTCTGCTGTGCAGACGGGATACTCTCCGTATCTTGCTGGGCTCTCTGAAAGGGATGGAGGAATTGAACCGGGTCGGCCGCATGCAAGGCAAACTACCCGCTGTGCTATTGCTCCAGCCCCATGAGGCAGAGAGGAATAAAAAATTGGTGGCAGAAAGAGGAAATGACAGCCACAAATAAATCTCGGAAGAGAGCAGCAAGCTGCAAAGATGCTTCAGACTCCAAAGTCACCATCCAATTAAAAATTGAACTCCAGCTGTGTCGCCTTATTTAAAACTTTAGGATTCCTGGAGCTGTGTCTTATACTCTATGTCACTGATGTACCAGAAGGAGTACATATCGCACAGCATGAAAGGCAGAAGGCAACCAATCTCAATTAAAAAAATATTAGCACACCAGCCTCAACCTGTAACAACATGCTAGTAATCTCTTATCCAAGGGCTCCAGGGCTCAGGGTGTGATACAGAAATCTTCACACACTCTCTTCTAAGGAAACCTTTTATGATCGTTTCTAGAGAGAAGTATTCATAACAAGCTTTATACAATACATTATTTAGGGTCTGCCATTGGGGCAGGCTTGGATGGTGGTTGGGAAAATTCGAAATAATGGTGGTGGGAAGGTGTAATGATGGTGGGGTTGGGGTTGGAGTATTGAATGTAGTGAATTATTGGGAACAACCTTATAAAAATAAAATTAAATTTAAAAGAGAGAGAGGGGCTGGAGAGATAGCACAGCGGGGAGGGCGTTTGCTTGCACGCGGCTGACCTGGGTTCGATTCCCAGCATCCCATAGGGTCCCCTGAGCACCGCCAGGACTAACTCCTGAGTGCAGAGCCAGGAATAACCCCTGTGCAACACCAGGTGTGACCCAAAAACCAAATAAATAAATAAATAAATAAGAGAGAGAGAGGAGATAGCGATGGGGGCAGAGAGACAGTTTTGGGGTCCTTCAGTCCGCTTAGCAATCAGGTTTTGAACCTGGAGAATGTATCACAGAACCAGGGGAACCCACCCCCCTAGCTTAACCCCCGGGATTACATCAATTTCAATTTCACCATCTCCCGCTCCCTAGAGCCCTGGGTGAGAAAACATCCTCGCAAAGTGCTGGGGTGTGTTGTGGGTTTTGCCTGTTGGGAATTCCTGAGGGGCTCAGCCTGGCGCCCCGGGTTGCCTGGGTGGTGATAGGGGCAACCCTAGCTCCATGGTTGAGGCTACTCAGAAGACTAGAGGTGGGGCCAGAGCGATAGCACAGCGGGGAGGGTGTCTGTTTGCCTTGCATGCGGCCGACCCCGGTTCAATCCCCAGCATCCCATAGGATCCCCGGAACACCACCAGGAGTAATTCCTGAGTGTAGAGCCAGGACTAACCCCTGGGCATCGCCGGATGTGACCCAAAACAAACGAACAAACAAACAAAAAAACTAGAGGTGGCAGGACTTCTGCCTCCAGCAGGAAGATAACGGACTTTTACTGAGCAGGCAACATTCCAAGGAAAGCGACATCGAATTCTTCCTCACCCAGCCTTAGGAAACCTGCACGCCCCCCACTCGCCCCCACAAAGCTCAAAGAATAAGATCATCTCCCACTCTTTGCTCAAGCCCACTCATCTCCGTTGAGGTTCCAGCCTGGCTATTGGGGTCCGCTATTGATTTTATTTGGGAGGGGACGGGATGGTCAGTATGTTTGAAAGGCAACTTGTCCAACACCCAACACCCCCACCCCAGGGGAGCTTCCCCCCACGCTCCGGGGCGACTTCCCTTCCCAGGCGACTTTTCCCACCAATCCTTTCTCCCCGGGTCACAGATGCGGACCTTCAGATCGGCAAGCTCTTGTGGGGGGACAGTGGGCTGTACTACTGCATCGTCACCACCCCCGACGACCTGGAGGGCAAGAACGAGGACTCGGTGGAGCTCCTGGTGCTGGGTAAGCTGCTGGTGCTGGTGCTGGTGCTGTGGCTGGGACCCTCTCCCTCCTCCCACGGGTCCCCTGGGAGCATGCGCACCGCATCCTTTGCCGCACGTAGCGGTCAGTCCCCGCCCCTCGGCGCTGATTGGATGCTGATTCTGTGTTCTGCTTGAGTTGGGGGTTGGTTGTTTTGTTTTTAGGTGTGTTTTTTAAATTTTTTTGTCCACTTCGCACATATCCTCAACCCTGGTTTCTTTCTTTCTTTCTTTCTTTCTTTCTTTCTTTCTTTCTTTCTTTCTTTCTTTCTTTCTTTCTTTCTTTCTTTCTTTGTCACACCCGGTGATGCACAGGGGTTACTCCTGGCTCTGCACTTAGGAATTACCCCTGGCAGTGCTCAGGGGACCCTATGGGATGCTGGGAATCAAACCCGGGTTGGGCACATGCAAGGCAAACGCCCTACCCGCTGTGCTATTGCTCCAGCCCCAACCCTGATTTCTCACTTATTCTTTTATCTATTTTTTTAAGGGGGGTTGCACTAGCAGTGCTCAGCACTTACTCCTGGCTCTGTGATCAGAGATGACTCCTAGTGGGTTCAGGGGATCATTTGGGATGTCAGGGATTGAACCCAGGTCAGCCACATGCCAAGCAAGAGCCCTACCCACTGAACTATCTTTCCGGCCTCCCGACGTCCAGTCACCCCTCTGTGGAATTGTGCAGGCTTACAAATAGGAATCTGGGCTGGAGGGTCTGTGGCTTGACTCCTGGTTTAGCTTTGGTGAATCAACTCCTCTCTGTTGTTTTTCTCCTTTTCAAAATGGTCTAAGTGATGATTAGGCTTTAATGATCAGCCACATGGTGGAGAAAATTAACTTTTATTAGCGGTCGGGCTTAATTCAGGTGCGGTGTCTTTAGGGATGGCCCTGAATCATGAATTGTGTCTTGTAAAATAGATGAATGAATACATAAATAAGAACCAGTGATGGTTCAGGAGAAGGTCTTAAGGATACACAGAACTCTGCATTCAATTCCAGAGAGGTAGCCTCCCAACCTCCACTGGGGGAGGAACCCCCCAAGATTAAAAATGTAAAATAGAACAGATATTTTGGTGTGTTTTTTTGCTTTTTGTGTCACATCCAGCAATGCACAGGGATTACTCCTGACTCTGCACCCAGTAATTACTCCTGGCAGTGCTCGGAGGACCCTATGGGATGCTGGGAATCGAACCTGGGTTGACCGCATGCAAGGCAAACGCCCTCCCCGCTGTGCTGTCACTCCAGCTCCAAGAACAGATATTTTGAAGAAACTAAAAACTCTTATTTTTCCATTGCACCGAGATGATACAGCGTGTAGGAGACAGGCCTTGCATGTGTCTCATCTGGGTTCAATCCCCGGCGTCCCATCTGGTCCCCCAGGGCAACAGCAGGACTGATCTTGAGTACAGAGCCAGGAGTAAGCACTGAGCATTGCCGGTTGTGACTCAGAACATAAGACACAAAGAAATAGATAAAATAAAACAAGTGTCAACAATCTGGTGCAAGTGATGTGAACCCCAGACTCGGTCCCCTGCACAGTGCCACACCACCTCTGCCAAGAAATGACTCAGTGTTCCCCCACATATGCCAAACTTGTCTTGTCCTGGGATCACGCCCAGAGGTGCTCAGGGCTGACTCCTGGCTCTGTGCTCAGGCATCACTCCTTGTGGTGCTCGGGGAACCCTATGGGATGCCGGGGATTGAACTCGGGTCGGCCGCGTGCCAGGCCAACGCCCTCCCCGCTGTGCTATCACTCCGGCTCCCAAAACAAAATATTTTTTAAATACATCGTGCAGGAGTCCCTGGGTCCTGGTTCTTGTCCCAGGTTTGCATTAGCACCTCGCGGTCTTGAAACGGGCCTTCGCCAACAACTCAGGCCAATACACCCAGGGACCAAGTTCTTAGGCAGACCGCTGATCTCCCCAGGAACTTGCCCCCTGCCCCCTCTTTTCTTCCCTGCCCCAGGCCTCTGAGCCAGCTACAACCCCCCTACGGGGGCTGCTTTCAAAGGTTTCAGATATATCTGAAGACAAGCGATGCAGAGAAATAACAAAGACCAACCTCAACTTTGACACTGCATGCAAACTGTCCTGGTGGTCTCTCTCTCTCTCTCTCTCTCTCTCTCTCTCTCTCTCTCTCTCTCTCTCTGTCTCTCTGTCTCTCCCTCTCTCTCCCTCTTTCTCCCTCTCTCCTCTCTCTTCCTCTCTCTCCCTCTCTCTCCCTTTCTCTCTCCTCTCTGCTTCTCTCTCCCTCTCTCTTCTCTCTCCCTCTCTGTCTCTCTCTCCTCTCTCTCCCCCTCTCCCTGTCTCTCTCCCCCTCTCTCCCTCTCTTTCTCCCTCTTTCTCCCTCTCTCCTCTCTCTCCTCTCTCTCCCTCTCTCCTCTCTCCCTCTCTCCTCTCTCCTCTCTCCCCCTCTCTCCCTCTCTCCCTGTCCCTCCCTCTTTCTCTCTCTCCTCTCTCCCTCTCTCTCCCTCTCTGTTTCTCTCCCTCTCTCCCCCTCTCTCTGCCTCTTTCTCCCTCTCCCCTCTCTCCCTCTCTCTTCTCTCTCTCCCTCTCTCTGTCTCTTTCCCTCCCTCTCCCTCTCTCTCCCTCTCTCTCTTCTCTTTCTCTCCCTCTCTGTCTCTCTCCCTCCCTCTCCTTCTCTCTCCCTCTCTCTCCCTCTTCTCTTCTCTTTCTCTCCCTCTCTCTGTCTCTCTCACTCTCTCCTTCTCTCTCTCTCTCCTCTCTACCCCCCTCCCCCCCCCCCCCGATGATTCAGAAGGTAAAGGCACTCTAAAGTCAGAAACATGCTCAGTGTTGGGGGTACTTTGAGATGACAGTGACAGGTCTTTCAGAAATATTTAGACAGACATTTGGGGTGGAAGGAGCCCTGGGAGCTGCCAATCACCGAGGGGGCGTGTCCAGAAACCCGCCCTCCTCCGGGAGGCGTTATCAGACGGGCTCCCTCGCAGGGACAGACTGTTTAGAACCTGGAAGCGAGCCACTGTTTGGATGGGAATAAAGTCCTCCCCGGGCAGCTCCAGCTGGCAGGAAAAGGACTTCAACATCCCGGAAGGCGCAAGTGAACTTCATTTATTTTAAGATTTTCAAAAGAAGCTCACCAGGCCTCCCCCCCCCCTTTTTTTTCTTTGGCTTTTGGGTCACACCCGACGGTTCCCAGGACTTACTCCTGTCTCTGCACTCAGGAATCACTCCTGGCGGTGCTTGGGGGACCCAATGAGATGCTGGGAATCGAACCCGAGTCGGCCGCGTGCAAGGCCAATGCCCTCCCTGCTGTGCTATCGCTCCGGCCCCAAGCCTCACTTCTTTCCTTGCACACAGTGACTCCTTTTCCTGCATCCCGGGAGGAGTCTTGGTTTTGTAAAGGCCTTCAGTGAGGGCATATTGTTTCTGTGTTTGAATATTGTTTCTGTGTTTGATAATACAAACAGCAAGAAGCCAGAGAGATAGCACAGCGGGGAGGGCGCTTGCCTTGCCGACCCGGGTTCGATCCCCGGCAACCCCTTAGGGTTCCCTGAGCACCGCCAAGAGTGATCCCAGAATCCAGAGTCAGGAGTTAGCCCTGAGCGTCACCGGTTGTGACCCAAAAAAAAGAAAAGAAAGAAAGAAACAAACAAACAAAAAACCAGCCAAATACAGAAGAATAAAGATAGCTCCTGATATCTCGCCATCCAGAGGTGTCTGATATATTCTACAGAATTCTCTTTCTTCCTTCCCTTTCTTTTCCTTTCCTTCCCTTCCTTCCTTCCTTCCTTCCTTACTTCCTTCTTTCCTTCCTTCCTTGCTTCCTTCCTTCCATCCTTCTTTTCCTTCCCTTCCTTCCTTCCTTCCTTCCTTCCTCTTCCTTCCTTCCTTCCTTCCTTCCTTCCTTCCGTCCTTCCTTCCTTTCTTCCTCTGTCCTTTCCTTCCTTCCCTCCCTTCCCTTCTCTTCCCTTCCTTCCTTCCTTCCTTCCTTCCTTCCATCCTTCTTTTCCTTCCCTTCCTTCCTTCCTTCCTTCCTTCCTTCCTCCCTTCCTTCCTCCCTCCCTCCCTTCCTTCCTTCCTTCCTTCCTTCCTTCCTTCCTTCTTTCCTTCCTTCCTTCCATCCTTCTTTTCCTTTCCTTCCTTCCTTCCTTCCTTCCTTCCTTCCTTCCTTCCTTCCATCCTTCTTTTCCTTCCCTTCCTTCCTTCCTTCCTTCCTTCCTTCCTTCCTCCCTTCCTTCCTTCCTTCCATCCTTCTTTTCCTTCCCTTCCTTCCCTTCCTTCCTTCCTTCCTTCCATCCTTCTTTTCCTTCCCTTCCTTCCTTCCTTCCTTCCTTCCTCCCTCCCTCCCTCCCTCCCTCCCTTCCTTCCTTCCTTCCTTCCATCCTTCTTTTCCTTCCTTTCCTTCCTTCCTTCCTTCCTTCCTTCCTTCCTTCCTTCCTTCCTTTCTTCCTCTGTCCTTTCCTTCCTTCCCTCCCTTCCCTTCCCTTCCCTTCCCTTCCCCTTCCTTCCTTCCCTCCCTCCCTCCCTCCCTCCCTCCTTTTCTTTTCCTTTCCTGACCTCACCCACCCCTCAGCATATTCTGTAAGTTCATGAGTACCAGGGAAAGATGTTCAGCCTGGAATAGAAAAACTCTCTGGCTTAGGAAACGATCAACTCAAGGGTCTTATTTCTAGCTCCAGACAGGGCTGAGGCCACACAGTTCGGATTCTGTTTCCAAGGAACGTCTGTCTCTGTGCTAATGTCCTCTCCATAGTTTCAGCAAAAAAAAAAAAAACAAAAACCTGCTTGGGGGCACGGGTGGGCTGTGGACATGGTTTAACTGACAGGGCTGCTCTGAAGTCCTGACCTTCCCTCAGTGGGTTCATCCAACCCCGATGTCGGTTGGTGGAATCACAGCTACGAAACTGAAGGGTGTCCTGCATTTATCTGCATTTTGGCAGAGGCTGTAGTTTAAGTCTGAGGAAGTCAGAAGAAATCCTGGGGGGTGAGAAGGGACAGGAGCGATAGCACAGTGGGGAGGGCT